ACGGGGAGGAAGGAGGGTGGTAACCTGGGGAGACCAAGAGGAGGGTGGGGAGACGGAGGTACGCAGGGAGGCGAATATAAGCTAGGCCCTCGCTGCCAGGAGTTCTCAGACCTGACTGCACACGGATGCCCTGGGAGCTCTTAGAAAGGCAGATGCCCCAGCCCCGGCCGGTTTGCTCAGTGGGTAGAGCGGCAGCCCACGAACCTTCAGAAGGGCCCCGGGTTCGATTCTGTCAAGGTCACGTACCTCAGTTGCAGGCTCCATCCTCCCCCTGGTCACGGCATGTGCGGGAGGCAACGAATCGCCGTCTCTCTCTCACATTGATGTTTCTCTCTGTCTCTCCCTCTCCCTCCTACTCTCTCTAAAATGCAATGGAAAAATATCCTCGGATGAGGATGAATAAGAACAACAAATGCAGGTGCCCTAAAAAACCCACAAATCCAAATACCCACCCCAAACTCCAGGCAAATCCCATCAGGCACTCTGAGGGATAGGGGTCGCCTAAGCTCCCATGCATTCAAGGTGCAGCTCCTGGTGTAAATGGACCTGTTATGGTAACTTTCTTTCTTTTTAAAAAAATATTTTTATTGATTTCAGAGAGGAAGGGAGAGGGAGAGAGAGAAACATCAGTGATGAGAGAGAATCATTGATCAGCAGCCTCCGGCACGCCCCCCACTGGGGATTGAGCCCGCAACCTAGGCATGGGCCACTGGCCAGAATCGAACCTGGGACCCTTCAGTCCTCAGGCCAACGCTCTTATCCACTGAGTCAAACCAGCCAGGGCCTTTCTTTCTTTTTTTAATAATTCTTTATTGTTGAAGGTATTACATCTGTCCCCCCTTCCTTCCCCGTGTTATGGTAACTTTCTACTTTCTTAGATTGATTGTAGGTTCAAGGGTGTTCACTCTATTAGTATATTTTATGACTCACCTGTGCTATGTGTATTATTTATTCCATTTAAAAGATAATGAAAAATATCTACAAATTCCTTTTCCTTCATTTTCTCGTTCTCTCCATTGTTTTCTCCCTTTAACTTCTCTGGGCCCTTATTAACTTCTCTGATTTCCTGGCTGCAGTGTGGTACCCTGGCCAGGTAGCTCAGAGGTTAGAAGGTCCTCCCCGCACACCAAGTTTGCTGGGCAGATCCCCAGTCAGGGCTCATATAAGAATCAACCAACAGACGCATAAATAAGAGGAACAACAAATCGATTTTCCTCTCTCTCTCTTTATCTCTCTCTCTCTCTCTCAAATTAAATAAATTTTAAATAAATAAACCTTCTTCCAAACTGAGAGTTTCCTGCCCTTCGTTTTGCAAATGAGATCCCGAGAGGCCAGGAGCTCTCCTGAGGTCGCCCTGCAAGGACTAGGAGAGCCAGGGTGACACCCCAACTGCGGAACTGGCGGCTCTGCTCGTCCTGCCTTTCCAGGGCGTGTGGCTTGCCGGTGTCGCTCTTAAAAGAGGAGCCAGATGTGGACCAACGGGTCACACCGCGAGTTCAGCAGTATTCCATATTTAGTGACAGGGGATGACTATGGCCCCAGGGGGCTGAGAGGGAACCCTAGTGGGAACCAGCAGGCCAGCTGTGAGGGGCTTGGCTTGTGTCTGGTGTCCTAGCCCTAGCATGGGAGAGGAAGCAGGAGTG